CTGGTCTCGCGAGAAGAAGAGCGACGAAGCTTTTATCTTCTATTGCTTTATATTATCATCATCATACTTATCGTCCACAATCCACAATCTTCCACACGATGACTAAAAACAATGGCCTTGTCGCCTCCCATTCTCATCCCCCTGTCTCCTGTTACTCGCACTGCACTGGCTTCCCTAGTGCCAGAAACTTCATTTGTGCACTAATGTAATAATGCGTTTTAGACCAGTGTCTGTACCAGGTAAAAACGCGGAATAATAATATTATGCCTCTTCTCCCATAAAGGATGACTGAGTGTAAATACTTTGAAGAAAGCAGCAATTTCTCTGCGGCGGAAGACGGATATCTTTCCTAAGGACAATCGCGTGGGAGAGACTTTGACGAAATGGGAGTGCAAGCAATGAACGTCAAAAAGAGTTTTCTTTAGAGCTTATATCAAATTAAAAGTTTACTGCTTCACACAAAGACAAAGACACACTTGCTTTGAAAGTTGGCACTTACTGTTACTCTCCTCTGCAACGTGGGCTGCAATTGCTTTGGGGCATGAATGAATGAGTTTGTAGTAGTGGAGAGAATTTTCTTGCCGTGTTGTGATGTCATCATCACCCTACCTTGAACTTTGAGAAATGTATAAACACAAGGAGAAAGTTGACGGATTTTGTGTGGTGCGCGTCTACACGGTACGCTGCAGGCACATGTGGTTTGACGTTGCCTACTGCCGCAATCATTAATTTGAAATCCATTGATGAAAATAAACAAGTGTACGGTAATTCATTAAAATTCCATTATGTTCGTGATAAAATCGGAAAATAAGTACATATATTTGTGTTTATAAATGCAATTCTACATTCTGCATGGACATAGTTAGTATCCAGCCAGATTTTACATTGACGTGTTGCGTTTTTTCAAGTTTCAAGTAACTAATGGACGTGCTATGCTAGGTTCTTGCTGAAATGTGGTGAATGGTGGACTAGTTCTTGAAAAGGAAAGCCATAAATATTTTGATAATCAGACCCCAATGTTTAAAGGGAAACGATCTGTTATTATTTCTCGCAGGTGGTGACAAACATGCGACAACGGTCTCAAAGGTATTTCTTACACTGGTCGTACTAAATAATAAAATGTGCCAAGAGCAAGCATATTCTGATTGGGAACTAACTCAACAACATTCTTAAAATACATATATTGCTTATTACTGCAGTGTATTTACTTTTCGTCAATTTTAACTGCCCTGTTTATAACATTAATAATTGTGCTCTTATATTTATTGCTCCATATTTGCAAATGGTATGCATGCCGTAATAACCGATTTGAAATTATTACTTGAATCTGCTCTTGTTAACATAACCAGATTAATTCTTCATACCAAGTGACTCTGGTTTTATTAATTTTGCTTTGTTGAATAAAGAGACATTTCGATATCTGTGTATGACAAATATTTCGTGATTTTTTAGTAAAACACAAAGTTTTTATAACCCTTTTCTCGCACACGACAATAATTGAAACGCTCGGATGTAAAACAGCCTTCGCGACAATTTTTTTGTAAAATTCAACCTAGTTACATTTAAATACCGTTTGAAAAATAATTTCATTTCATTTTTAGCCCGAGTCAGGGTTTATGGAACCGTCATGTCCGTCTGTCTGTCAGGCACGATAGAGCCAAAACGGCTGAACCGATTGACTTGAAATTTTTACCATATGCATAATGGGCAAAGTTAGGAAACGAATTCGAATATGGGCGAAATTGGTCAAGTGGTTGACCAGTGGGGGTCAAAATTTTTATCTGGAGCTACCCTATGGGGTGACCCATACCGATGTTTAGAAATTGTTTAAAAAGATGAAATCCGGCAGAATGATACTTAATGGCTTCTCATTAAAGAATATGAAGTTAAAAGTGAGCAAAGTGCAACCAGAGTGATTCATACTGATTTTTCAAAATAAGCCTGACTCGGGCTAAAATTGAAATTAAATTTTTTCAATTATTTTTACAAAACGGTATTTAAATGTAACTAGGTTGAATTTTTTTTAATTGTCGCGAAGGCTGTTTTACATCCGAGCGTTTCAATTATTCGACTAAACATTGCATCGCAGTTGACAATTTGTAAGACGCTGAATATTCACCAAAACAATTTACCTTTGTCTTTTATACATTGCGTACTTCTGGTAACGGTGACAATGGAACAAAATATCGGTATAATCTCTGCGGGGGATCATATAATCTAAATAATTATGATGGTCACAGAGGGTAGCCAGATCCTCATAAATGTTAATGGACAGTACTAATATTGTACAACATGGCAACATTAAGTGAGCTTATTCACGAATGAGTACAATATATTCAGAATATTAGTGTCTTGAACCTGTGCACGATGCCATGACGAGGCAGCGAAGGTGCGCCGATGTGCCGAGTTTTGAAATGAAATAATTAAAATTCATTCCCAGTACTTGCAGTCAGCTACTCCCTCTTAATAAATTGCTTACTATGACACTTAATCACATTAAAGTTGGTAATAATTAAGGCCTAAATGTTCTCTTTAATTGCAAGTTAGTCTAGTTGAAGAGAAATAAATTAGGCTCGCCTCCCTCGTCACACTCGTGCCGTCCGTCCCTCCCTGCATATGCACACACACATCATGCAACCATTGGGGGGAAGACGGAAGATTGGCGAAGGCCAAAAAGTGAACGGCTAAGGTCACCGTGTAGCACAACGCATATTTACTATGGATGGAGTGGAGGGAATATTAATTTAATTCGGACGAGGATCGCGTGCATTGCCACCTGTCAAGTGGTGAGTGAAAGCTGTTATCTACAACATATCCCTGCATTACTCCCTAGTGCGTACTTGACCAAATATTTGGACTGGAGAGACCATATTCACCACATAGTCGTCCAGGCTGAAATTGAATTAGCAAGACCTACAAACAACACTTTCCCTCCTCACGGAACAGGATTTCTAGCCACTTTACGACCCGCTTTCGACATCTATACCCTCGCTGCCTGCACTTGGAGGGCGACAGTCTGCCTTGACAAATTGGACACTTTCACTTAGTCTACATACATACACATTACTGGTTATAAACACATATTTCCTCCTGCTCCATTTCTCTCCACATTTCTATTAAAATTCCATTCTCCAAGTCCACGACGGAAGAAACTCGCGCGAATATGTCGGCGAATAGGAAACGTGCAAAACAGAAACATGAATGCCGTTCATTGCCAAAAAATATATTTATTTATACGGAAAAGCCTGAACTGGGTGTTACGAATTATTGCAACCTAGCCATTTAACCTATTTACATTTACATGTCAATTTTATGGAAAATAAAATTCCCCAAATCACAAGTGGAAGCATGTATTACACCCAACCGTCCAGTTGGAAGAATTTAATCTGGAGGAAGAAATTCCTTTCCACTAAAAAATATCCCAGTTCAAATATTTGCTGGCGGAAAAGTATACGCAGAGTGTGCCCAAGAGTGTCAAGCGAAATGAATTGGAAGTTTTTAGAGTAAAAGAATGTGAGGAAATTTCGCAAGTTTTTCTTTCATTTCATTTCATTTTACTTTTACGGGCAACATATAACTGCGTACTTGAAAGCGGCACAAAGCGTCTTTCACTTTTTATTGATATCTTTCCACCGAAACGATTACACATCTCAGGATCAGTTCAATTCACTCGGACGAAATGGTCAGAGAAAGATCCATATGTTATGGACGGTGGTGGTGGAATATCAACATTTGGACGGCAACGACGACGACGGGCTGGAATTTAATGCCAGCGATGGTGGTCCTTAGCCTAAAAATTTACGCCGTCTTTCCAATTGAACTTTGATCCGGGCTAAAGATGCAAATCACTGCGAATTTGGCCGCTCTGTTTCACTCCATTTCGTGAATTGATGGTGAAATAGAGTCGAGTTTAACTTTGAGTTATGAATTTTATAGAGCATTGAATTTATGGAGTTTGGCCAGTCAACTGAGCGGAGCGTGTTCTGCGAAATGCTAGCTTCACAGTCTGAGTGAGAGAAAGCATAACTCATTTTGACTCTGGCTGCAAAATTTCTCTTCAATATTCCCCCGTCCCTTCAACTCGGAGTAATAGATGTTTAATAAAGATTTAAACTTGGCTTTCCTATTACCTCGTCATGTCGATATTCCATTCGCACTCGAACGTCAAAACTCAACAGGGCCCTACTTTCTCCGCTCTCTTCTCAGTTATGGGCTCCGTCCTGATCCAACCAATCCACTCTTTCCTACACATAAACCTTTGTTTCATCTAAAATATTTCATTCCGTGCATGATTTGGAATCCGTGGATCAATATCATCCTTGGGCAGATAACACCATGCAACGCAGGAGTCTTGGCAGCCAGAGCAAAAAACTTATGGCTTCAGTTGCGAATAGATACAGATATACAATTGAGTGTACAATGTGCTAGAGCAGCAGGAGTATTAACCTCGTTTTATTCACCCGTCCTGCATTCCTTTAGAATCACGACACAGCTGAATCTGGGAGAAATGATTAGCTGACTGAGGCTTGTTAGTGAATGACAAGCAATGATTTATGAATGTGGAGCAGTAGTGTACCCAGAATCCGAATTAAATCTCTGAAGAGAACACCATGAGACAGCTTCTACAATCTCCAGGACGAGCAACCCACCACGAATATGGATACGGCATACGTACATATTTAGTAACAGTATGGTTAAATAGCTCAGTTTCACCAAGATAACCATCCCCCTTGGACAGGGCTGATTTAAAGTGCTGGAGGTACATGTCATATACGTGCATTTTCGCAACACACATTTTTTGCAACATTTTCAACGGAAGCATTGCGACTTCATTGAGATTTCCGCTTGCAAACTCGTGAAGCAAATTATGTGTATGAGTATACGAGTATACTTATAATGTGCATCATTTTGCTTTTGCGATTTTGTCTATTTTGTCGGGCGACGTAGAAGTTCAAGATGAATATGTTTGTTTAAAAGGATAATGAAACTTGTTAATTTACCGATCACTGTCAAATTGACTTTGGAGTTCCTTGTTGGCGATTTCAGAAAATCAACTCGGCATCGGTATAGTCCGGCATCCTGGTCGCTAACCTGGAATAGTAAATGCGGTCTTAGCAACATCATGTTAATGCAAATTTCGTGTACTATTCAACCAACATACATACATCTACTCGAGCTCTTAAATCAATATGAGTGCTTAGCGGCTTTGTCTCTTTCGGAATTAGAATGCATTTGGTCAAGTTTGTTATAGAATAACGTGTGCAAATCATTTAAACATACTGATTTGAGCTGCATGTCAATTTTTTATGGTTGAATATACTGAATTATGTAAAGGTGTGGAAAGGAAGGTTTAGGTGGGTTTGGACTGATTATTACCTAATCAGAACTTACCTTGTCTATCGAGAGGGACGCTGGCTCCGTCACTGTTCGAAAATAAGCTCTTTGGCCCAGTAAAACTTCGTTTTTCGCATGAGCGCCCGGCTTTGCACGCCCATCATAACTGGAAAATTCAGAATAAATTACTTATATAAGTATGGACTAGAGGATTGAAACTTCAATTCGGTAGTAAACATTTTTTGCGAACTGCGCATTTATGTTTCATGAGCTCAAATTTTTCTTATCAGTATGTCAAACAACGAAATAACAAGTAAAATTCCAACTTTTTTGCTGAAACATAATACACAAATCCACACTAAAAATAATAATTTATTTCCCACCGAAGTCGGATATAGTGCAAAAATTATGAATATTGTCTAATTTAACGGTGTAATTGTGTCAATTATACAAAATGTGGATTAAAGTTCCAGTTTATATGTGTGTTCAGATGGGAAGAGTGGGAGGACTAATATCTCAGTTCAATTATCAGACTATATAGGTCATTATTTTACTACGTAATTGCATGTCCATCCATAATTCACTCTGCTCATTGTTTGAACCCATCCGGCTTAACGTGCGTGGATTTAAATTTGTCCTATTGAAGTGGTTGGTTGAATTAAAATGAATCCGGCTCGGTCACAACACACCCACACGACCAGCAGCCAACCGACCATGCTCTTTGGCCCTGTGATGGCTCTCATGCAAATTCTAGTCTCCAACAGGATCATGTCAATGATGTGAGTCGGAAACTACTACTCGGTGGAGAATTAATGCTTCAGATATTTTGCCCAACCTTACTTAACCCAATTCTATCCCAGTTCCAACTTAACGTGCCATCGATGCTTTCTCCACTGAACCAACCATGCACGTTCCCAGTTGAAGCTCCTGTTTATGCGTGGTCATCCAGTTCATGTTATACTCAAACATATTAACTTCCTTCCGTTATACTCACTTGGACGCTGAGCGGATACCGAGGTCTATGTCAGATATGAATATATACCGTGAGAATATATACATATATATAAGGCTAAGGGGAGTAGCCTGGTCGGCTGAACATATGGCACATGTTCCAACATATCAGCAGTGTCGGTGGTACGTAGATCTGTAACCTAACTTGGTTCGCCCCCAGCAGTAACGCCATAGTTAGTTAAGCCAGTTCTCTTGAGAAGAAGTAGGAGAAGTGTAATGTAAGGCAACATATTTGTCGTGGAGCAGAGCGAGCAGCAGACGGTGAGGAAATCAGGCGAGACTAAGGAGGGGAGCTTGCGAGGTTGATAATAACAGATCTTGGTGCCCTTTGGATATGTGGTAGGGACCCATGAGTGTACTAAAACCCTGAAGTAGTTTGACTCCATGGCCACATTTGCGCCCGCCACACCCACTCAAAAATGCCCAAAAAACGCTTTCACCCCAGTTTTCACTCACTCAAATCCACGTCAAAAATCCAATTTTACTCGGATTTTGAAATTTCTTTCACCATTATACTCCCAGATAGTTGCTTTCTTCAATCCAATATCAAACTCAATTTTATTGATGATTATTTCGCAAACATAATTTGTTTTGTTGATGACTACAACAATGCTCATTCAGAATTTTAAATTTTAAAAATACTAAAAATTTCGAAAAATTGAGTTTGATATTGGATTGAAGAAAGCAACTATCTGGGAGTATAATGGTGAAAGAAATTTCAAAATCCGAGTAAAATTGGATTTTTGGCGTGGATTTGAGTGAGTGAAAACTGGGGTGAAAGCGTTTTTTGGACATTTTTGAGTGGGTGTGGCGGGCGCAAATGTGGCCATGGAGTCAAACTACTTCAGGGTTTTAGTACACTCATGGGTCCCTACCACATATCCAAAGGGCACCAATATCTGTTATTATCAACCTCGCAAGCTCCCCTCCTAAGTAGAAGGGAAGTACTGAGGCGGATAAAATTCAACAAGACGTGATGGCTATTTAGCTTCGCTGAGCTGGCTCAGTTGCTCATTTACTAAAACCCTGTATCCTAATTGAATTGAATTTCTGATCATGAACCAATAATGACCAATCGTGTAAAATATCCACGTCCTTCACAGGATACAAACATTAAATTCAATCACATGGATTTGGTTTGGTAAACCACAAAAGTGAAAGCAGAACAAGGTGGATGGTGTATATACCTAGCCTTCTACATGCATATCTCTATTTATAGTCGTACAACGCGAACGTATCACGTTCTTCTATAATGCCCAGAGTGTCTCAGCATTATTGCAATTATGTCTCCACACAGCATACAAAACTACCAACACTCTTAACTCTAAAAGTATAAATCGAAATGCTCAAAATCATAATCATACCAAAATTAATGCCTTTTAGTAAAATTTTTAGTGAAAACCCAATGGACTGAGTATTAAATTTTCATTTGCACAAAGTACAGGATATCTTCTTGACATGGGGATGTACCTATTTATATTTCCTGGTGTGCCTCTACGTACTTTCACCATTAGCAGAACGGGTTGTCAGTTGTCGGCACAGAGCGACAAAAGTACAACCAACCATATTACCATGCCCGATGGTAGCGTAGTTTCGTTGCAAGGTTGGTTTGAAATGAGCTCGTGAAGATATAAAGATAACTGGAAAACATGACATCAAATTTTGACAGATAACTGAAAGCCAGCAGACAGGAGAGACTAGTGAAACCAATGCAGAATTTCAACTCGACGCCACCATTTCGCATTCAATATTCAACGGATACTAAAATTTGAAATAGAATCGTTTCGTCCCATTCACTCCTTTAACATTTCCATGCTGAAAATTTATAGTTGGACTATCGAGTTGGGAATGAAAATATATATAAAAGCACGCATGAAGGTCCTCGTCGAGCGGTAAAGTAACCGATGGTTGGTCGCCATTTTCCATTCTATTCGCTCTTTCTCTATCTGACAGCCGTTTTTCACCATAACATTTCAATACATTTCGTTCATATTTCACATCAAAACCATTCAAGTTGAGTTCAGCCATGCCTCTCTTCTCTCTCGCTCGCTCTCTTCTACAAAGCTAACCCCCGTTGTCTGTGAGGAGCATCCCATTAAAAATAGAAAGAGAGTGAAAGTCCAGGCTGAGGTTTGCGAGGAGTCGAACCACATAAACTGCGATCAACATTTTAAATTACGGTCTGAATATTGTTTACAAAAGCTGCTAGACATATAGTTTCTGCACTTCCATAGACAAACTCCTCGTGTTTTAGATATAAGGTTAACCCATGCAAAAACGATTCCATTGCTAATTCGCTCTTTTGTACTTTTATATTCTACACAAATGACGCAATTCGCAAGAAGACCAGACATACTTGCCCTTTGCTTCACAATAAGCATATGACTCTCCAATTTTGTTTTGTTATTTTATTCCTTTTTGTGCTTGCGTCTTACCCGATTTTGATCTTTCGAGTTTTCCAAGTCTACCAACCAACAATTCACTCTTCCAACGAGCAGGGTAACAATATGCAAGTAACAGTCAGAAAACAGGCAGCCAGAGAGAGAAAGAGAGATCCGTTCAACATTCATGTGATGTTTAAGAAAACAATGCAAACAATGGGCGAGAGAAAGAGAGAGGGAGGAAGGGTGAGGTTGCAGATTTCCACGTGAATGAAAAATTGAAATTCGAGACCATTTCATCCATCCTCGCTAAACTGGCAGACTTGCGGAGACTCAAGAAAGGAAAAGAAGGCTTCAGCCATGTAGCAGCAGCTCAATAGCTTTAAACGGTGGCCTATTCATAAAACTCCCTTTGTTTTTTTATTCACGTGTACATTTTTTGAATGCATGGATATGCCTGGAAATCCATAGGTGGGTTTTATGAGAAGTCATAAAATATAGACAAGTATTCAGTGATGAAATGAAAGCAGGAAACGAGAAAGGTGAAAGGTTGGCAAGTGATTCCCGATCCAATAACGTCGGAGACGTATGTGTGTCTGGAGTAAATCCGCGTATTTTCTATCTCCAACACCAACGATATATTCGTCCTAACTGCGACCTTTCTCGTTTTTGCTTTCTTATGAGCAAACAAGGTCAGAATTGCATAACATCTAATAAACTATTCTATGTACTTATTTCGTATGGACGATGATGAAAAATATTTTGAAAAAAGTTTGCAAAAATTATGTAATTTATGATAAAGTGTAAATATAGTAAACTACGAATTTATTGATTAATACGATGTTTGTTTCAAGGAATGCATTTGAAATTAGTAACTTCCTCAAGATTAATACCTACCAGTACCTAAATACTTACAATTAGTTACTTAATTTGACTGGCATAATGCACACTGAGCCACATATGTATTTCCGTGGAGTTATCCTGTCCTATCTGATATGAGCTTAGGTCTATAGTAACGAGAGCGACTATTCGGCGTATTTCTCGCAGTGCCAAAAGTAGGGCTTTGGATATGTCGGTGGTACCAGCGAGGGATGAGGCATTTAGTTTTTCAAATCTATATAAAGAAGTGGATTTTACCACAGCGACAGGCGAAGGGATATTTCTTGGACTAATGCTACGTGAGACTAATCTGCTCATTAGACTCTTTTGAGCGAGAAAGTGTATCCCTTACACGAGAAATGTCTGACAAACGTATCTCGCACTCTGTTCCGTACCCACTACTTTCTTTGACTTTAACTAACACGCTTAGTTCCTTGGGCTGGATGGTAGAAGGTCTTTCCCTTCATTGCTTTGGACTACTTTCTTTCTTTTAGTTGGGCTTAGCATCTGCCAATGCCAATAGAGCCACCCTGCTCGGCTTACCTAATGCCTCCACTTTTCTCTGTAAGGAATTTGTGAAGGTAGTTCATCTTGCTTATTATTATCATAGACTTCGACTACGACGTATGTACATACTTCTCTACCAGTGTAATCCTTTCCTGTCTATCTACCAGAGGATTTTCTGTTACTGACTTCTCAACGTCCACCAAATCAAACTCGCTAGACTTCACTTTTTGCTCAAAGGAAGAATAACCAGTCTTTAGAAAAAATTGTCAATTCAGCTGGGCCACATAATTCCTTGCCATTTTCACGGGATCGTGCATGTGCTAGTATCTTATTTTTCGGTCTTTCTATTACCTAGCCAATTTTAGCCTAAAAATTCAACTAACAAATTTCTCTATATTAATTTGTAAAAAATTTATATTTTCCTCACAACACGCAGTACTTCTACTGAAATCCAAGATACTCATCATGACTGGAGCAATATGTTTTACACCACTTGATTCTTAAGACGTTAAAATATATTGCTCTACTCAAGCATACGTAATGTAATTTTCTTTCCGCAGCTGGCTTTCCTCTGGCATCTGGGCGTAATTATAACAACGTTCATCAATTTGCACTCTCTTAGCGCCAACCAACCGCCCACCCAGTCATGTCCAAAGTCTAACTTTTCCAGCGTTGCTTTTGTGTACCTCCAAGTTGTTAGGTAACATTGAATTAGGTGATTGACATTGAAATGACACGGCGCAATGTTCCAACCGGTTCCGAGAATGTGCCACGCACACGATCGAAGGGTGTTAGTGAATGATAACGACTTACAATTGGTCGTTTAAAATATGCTGCTTAATTGAATCTGGAGAAATTAAGGTGCAATTAGAAATCGGGTTACCGCTTGACTTGAATAAATGAAGTGTCTAACTCCACAGTTTCTGCTTTCTTCATTCTCTCAACTTTCACCAATTCCATTCCATTGGAAGACCAGCCCAAGGCCTCAGTTCAACAGTTAAAAGCACACTCAAATTCGCAACTGGGTAGTTTAAGGTTTATTTGCGAGTTTGAGACATCAGCTACATAGCCTATTATTCACACAGTAACCATTAAAAGGCTCATTCAAAGGGTTAGATGGCCTGGTCTACAACGGTTGACTCTGCATTGGCAGTAAATGACGCTTTCTTTCCTCGACCCCATTTAAAGGCTGAGGTGATGGTGGAAAAGGAAAAAACGTGGCACTTGAATGCGACACCTGACTTGGAATGTGCTCGGGAAGAGTGGAGAATTAATGTGTAAAAGATTGTCGTCGAGGCGCTCACGAAATGAACCAGGATGGTGAATACTGAATGGGCCAGCAATCCAAACGGATGTGAATCAGGAAGCCATAAATTTCGACAAAGTATTTAAAAGTGAGCCAAAAGTAATGTGAATAGAGAAGTGGGTTCAATAGACTTAAAACAAAATGAAAACTAGATACACAGAATACATGTGCTATATTCGTACTCACCTGTATATAGGCATGTCTCCAAGGTCCTTGTACCTAAAAGTAATTCATTTCATTATTTTTATTTATCTTCAGTAATGCAATAAGTTTGAAAACAAACTAGAAATTGATACGTTATATTCAAGTATAAGCTGACATGTACCGTGAAACTAGCTGTCAATAACTAGTGTCAATTACTATATGAAAATATCTATATGAAAATACTCTATATCATAGCAGTAAAAGTACTAATTTTAATATTTTGTTTTTCAAATTTGGACAACGATGCGAATTCTAATATTTGGCTTATAATGATTGATTTAGGGAAGACGCATTTCATAAAAATTCTACAAATAAACAAGAATAAAAATACATACCATAGGACGAGGATTGTTGAGTCTGTTGGGGATGGTGCAACAATATCGCACGGCAGGATGGCTTTTTTGTAAGCAACAGCAAGGACGTCAACTACTGGACCTAAAAATATATAAGAAATACATTGTAAATTATATTAGTTTCATTAATGTAATATTCAATTAAATCATTTTTTATAGTAGCTGAAGTAGATTGAGATCCACTTAAATACATATGTATTTGTGACATTATAAATGCAATCCAAGACCTTAAGCTTTATGTTTTCATGAATCAATTGTTTGATTCCATCATTAATTATACTGTTACGATTTAGTATTATCGTCGTACATAACATAGAAAGTCAACGGGAACGACCATCAATTAACAAGTCATCAATTAAAATATATTGCGCAAATTTCGAGCATTTATTTATTATTGAAAATTGGGATAAAAACATTCACAAAATTTAATCTAAATAATAATTTCACTTATGGAGATATCGTGCCAACAACTTTATCTCCAGACAAGGCTTAATTTTTTACTCCAAAAACCAATAACTACGTTACTACAATAAGCAATAATAGTTGAGCAATAAAGTTGGACGGAGCCACGCTTGGTTTATTGCTGGGATCGCGACATGATTAAAGGTGACTGCAGAAACAGGCGAGAATTTTCGTCATAATAGGTCGACCAAGGGTAGATATACGTACGTATTATTACGTATATTGTAAAAGGGGAGGAAATTCACACAAAATTTACTTCAACTAGAGTTTGAGCAGTGAAGTATTATTGCTATCACGTTATCAAGCAAAAGACTTTCACATGATTTGGGTTCAGGAAATGATTAATATTTTAATAGCCCTCGTTATAAGTTTTGTGATGACAAATGAATTTTAGGGGATTCATAGGTATTTAAACGTGATAAGAAATAACGAGTATAACTCATTTTATGACTTTCTCCTGCACAACGTAACCCGTAAATTTAGACCTTAGAAACCATAATTAAATACTCATTCTCTGCTTGCCGACCCATTCCTAGTAACGTAAGGGAAACCAGCTCGTTGTTGACTAATAATTACTATGGGCCTCGCAGTAAATATTATATTTTACGAGAGAAAGTTTTCTAGTAGTTGATTTTTAAATGTTTCGCAGTTGGTGTGCGAGAAATATAAATCGTATTAACCAGACACAAGCAGTAGTGCTGTGAACATATCTCTTGTTAGTCAAGCATATCGTTGTGAAGCAGCCTCAATGTATTTCTGTTGTTGCTCACGTAAAGTATTTCCCATATACCAATTTTTAAAAACCAAGCATTTTCAAAATTTAAGCCGGATTTGCTTTATTTGCTTTTGTCATAATTTTGTTTACTCCACAACTAAGACCATTCCTAAAATCCTACTATACACTAAACTTTTACACTGAACGTAGCCAAGGAAAGAAACAAATTAAATATCTGGACTTATTTCTCCTGGAATGAAAATAATACACAGATGTGTTACTACGGTAAACTTTTACACTTAACAATTTTGGACTAGAACAATTTGAGGAATTGTGTGAGTCCAAGTCAGTCTTTACAATTCTTCAATGAAAAGGATAATAATTTTAATCAGTATTTCTCAGCAGCATAAAAGTTTGGGAATAAATATTGAAGGATGAGGTAAATATTTTGAAAGAAAATCCAGGAAATAAAATTTAATTCTGACAAACTTATGTAATAAACCTCTGAGCTCAGCGTGGACCTGGCAAATCCAAATTTCTGCAGATAGAACACTCTCTCCGGAGCTGTTTTCTTGACTGAGCTTTCCGATTTCAGAATAATTTTGCTACACAGCGAAACGTCAGAGAGTTAGGAAATAGAGCAACTTTTGCCATTACAAGAACAACTCAACACCACTCGACTTGTTAACCCAAGGACAAAGTACAATAGAAGTTGGTTAAAAGTACCATTTCACAGTCCAGAAGAATGAGATGAAAATTTTCTATGCTGTTGAGCATTACGAATTTCATTTCTTCTGTTGACTTAAGAAATAATACAGCTTGCTTGGAAAAATCGTGCTTTAATATGCACCCCATTCATCGTTAGTGGAGCGTATACTGATAGTAGGCGATGTAGATGTATATATTTACATATACACATACCAGTTAGTTTGCTATACGCGAATTTATGTATTTATGTGAGTAGTTGACAATTATTTATCCTGAATATGTATCAGAGACATGAGAATGTTAGCTTGAATTTAACTAAATTGTGTCAAATAAAAATGTATAAATATCTGTATTGATATAAATACCGCGATCGATTCACAGCACCTGAACTTTTACACGGTTCGGATGGGCATGAAATGTGCTCGACAATACAGATCCATAATAATATTTACGCAACTATGAATATATGAATGTAAATATTTTACTTTGAAAAGATGTTTATTATAATCCGTAAACAGGAAGGGTTCAAGGTACATAATACGAAATTTATTCCGGTCATAAAAACCAATGTTGCCTGTTTCCAGGAGGACAATAAGCAAAGGGAGATAGAAATCATTTTCTGGCCTGCACTCGTGAGATCACGACCACGATCATCTTTTTTGATATTATGACTCAACATAAAACCTGAATAGCTTTCCTTTTACTTTCTCCATCATCATCCATTCACTGCTGTTATTCTTCTACCTGATTTGCATCACACAAGAAACTCGCAGATGTTGAATGCTGCTATGCACAAATACCTCAGGTCATATAAACCCACTAACCCACCAGGCCAATTCACATCATGGAGAGATTTGCAAAGAGTGAAATGAATGAATGAATGTTGATTCTACATCCTGGTCCGTTTTCCGCGACTGCTTTGTGAGACCAAAAACCTTCCAAAAGCGTAACTTTTGAGTTGAAAATATAAATGCCGAAGGAATCGTTGCAAACATAGGGAGGTAAATGTACATTTACGTTTAGTATGTTGGGTTCCCCAACCTTTCGTCAAGTAATCGACCATCAGCCATTTCCAATGGAACTAAATAATTGGCACTAATTTTAACGTTGTAAGTAAAACTGCTTAAAACCAAAAATGCCAAAAGTTCAGGTTTAATAAAAATCAACAGCTCCATAAACTCGTGTAAGTAACCTCGAATGCATTATTTTATGATTAAAGTATTTTCGTTGAAGGATTGGTTGGTACTCGCCGTCACGCAAATCCTGCCTCGGCTGGAAATGGCAGATGTGATATAACTGACACAAAAATATTTCCTTTTTATGGAGTGTTAGGAAAGACAGCTGAATTCACAAAGGAATAAATTCGCATATTGCAGATGACGGGCAAAACTGGGTGAGCTTCTTTGAATTGCAAATCCTCTTGTCTTTCCTTTCCTCCTCTCTCTCTCTCTCTCTCTCTCTCTCTCTGTTCATCAGAGAATAAACACAACAACATTCTTTTTCACTAGCTGTACCCCTATTGTTTTATTTTTCATTGTTGGATTTCATTATCATATAAACTATACGGAAACCAAGCTGGCAAGTGTGTGCATATGGGTTCCGATCCCTCACAAATTTAAATGCATTTTTGGCCATAAATTTTTAGAGGCGACGATGGGAAACATCTTAGATTTATTAATTCCATGTTTTGACACATTGTCACTTGCCTGTCATTTTATTTTCATGACATTTCCAAACGACGAACGGTGAAACTTGCATAATTCAACTTTCTCTTCATGCATACTTGCAAGAAGGGTGTCAGACATATGGATATATTTTTATTACAGAGTCAACATATTCTATGCTGAGGCCAAAGCTTATTTATCAATACTATAGTTAACAAACATACATAAATTGCAAGACAACCTTGTGTGAATGCTCAATACACGCATGCATTTATTTACACGGATTTTGCTCTTTTCGTGCAAATCTCTTCGTGCAAGTCTGCAGGGGAACGATTGGTATTACTCAGCAAAAGGAAGGAAGTGTTGGTTGTGAAATATGAAAGGTAACGAACGATACGCGACCTCAATTTCTTTTAGCCCAAAGACAAACAATAAGGCTCCCCTCTCGAGAAGCTTACTTCGCGTCGAAGCCCAGCCTTTCTTCCTTCGAGGACTTGCTCCGCGATATCTTTCATCCACAAAAAATTATTTATTATATTGGCACTTGCAGGAGCTTATCTTGGCTGTTTCAATTTGTAGTTATCATTTCTACTATGATAAATTTCTTTATAATAAATATAATTCGGAATGTTGATTTGTTTGGTATGTATGTTTTGTACAATTTTAACTTTTTCACAAATATCACTTCAAATTCGTTTTGTTGCATTAATTTTGCATAGAGTCACTTTTATTACCATAATAAGGAGCTAGTTGCAAATTGAATAGGCTGTTGTGTTCCCAAAAAAAGTAAAATAGGTGCGATTAATTGTAAGTTTCACGCGCAAAAAATAACAAATCTGGTGCAATAAGTTTTTCTCAAGAGTCATTAATGAAAGTTTTTGACAAACTTATTTCGGAGAAATTTTACTTCCGCATTTAAGGTTAATGTATTTCTTAAGTAACGTTAAAGTTCCAACCTCATGCGACGCTTGACGCTGATGAGGAAAATCTGAATGTAATTAAATTTTGTACATGGTAATGGCAAATCATGATTTCAAATTTAGCATGCTACTTTGCATAGCTCGCAGCACTTTGGTTTTTCACTCACCTTCACCTGCCAAATTGTATAAGAATAATGAGCCATCAGAAGTCAAGTGCTAATTTGAATCAGCATTATTATGTAATCATTGTATCAAAGTGAATACTTTCCTGGGTAGAAGTCTGTAGCTGTATAATAATTAGTGGCTGCAAGGACGAGATAGCAGCGGTGCATATCACAAAAACAAAATTAACGAGACTTTCCCACTTACACGTGCATTATTAAGCTCGTGGGAAAGCATTCATCACATCAATCAAATCCTACAAGAACAGACGCCTCTTAATTACCACAGTTGCTTCTTGGATAGGATAGCCATGCAGCCGTCTGTAGCTGACACTTAATCACATTTTCAACTTGGAGCAATATTTTAAAATGTACGGAACCAACAATTAGGGCGAAATATTTAGGTAGGCGACACTTTGTACACGCATGATTTACCAGGATCTGAATTTAGC